CTACAGTACAGTAGCATAGTAACGTAGATAAGTAAACTTTTATTATACAGCAACCCTGAATATCTCTTTACCCTGAATCTAGTAAGACCAAGTCTTACCTCTGCCGATACTCTTCCCCCTCCACTGCCTCAAGAAGAACCGACAAGAAGAAGAAAGAAGACTTCACCCACCAAGCCATGGCTGGCCCCCAGCTTTTAAGATGCTACACAATGCTTTGTTGTCAATGCTGACAACAAAGAAAGACATGGGAAGCCCATAAATTTGATCCCAGAACTTGAGAGGCAGAGGCAGGCAGATCTCTGAGTTCGAGGCCAGCCTGGTCTACAGAGTGAGTTCCAGGGCAGCCAGGGCTGTTACATAGAGAAACCTTGTCTCAAAAAAAAAAAAAAAAAAAGCAAGAAAAAGATGAGGAGAAGGAGGAGGAAGAGGAAATGCATGGGAAATTACAGGAAGAAGAGGTAAGGGATGCTAGGGCAGACAGCAAGGCCTGTGTGATGTTAGCGTTGTCAGCTTGACACACCATGCTCTAGAGTCATCGGGAGAAAGAGTCTCAGCGAGGGATTGTCCTGTGGAGGAGTGTCTTGTTGCCTTAATCATTGAGGGAAGTCCCACTCTCAGTGTGAGTGGAGTCTTCTAACAACATCCAGATACAAGGACACAGAAGGAAGAAAGCTTTGATCATATGGCCTTCACTCTCCCTGGCAAGCTCCTCTACACTGCTGCTAACACAACTGCCACCTTCACCGACAGTGGAACCAGCTTCTTCATGCTTTCTCCGTGGACTGAAGGCCAGCAGGTCTTCAGGACTCCACCATTGGCACCAGACGAGGACTCCTCAGCCTTATTTACTGAGCAAGCACCTCATTCACTGATCTTGGTCTTACTGGGTGTGATAGGGAGAATGAATGAGAAGGAGAATGAGCTGGGGGGGTCTTCTGGGCGTGCTCTTTTAAAAAGTTATGAGAAACACTCACACACACACACACACACACACACACACACACACACTCACGAACAGGAGGGCAGGTGCTGGAGGTGGACAGAAGTGTCTGATCCCCTGGACTGGATGGATTTACAGGCAGTTGTGAACTTCCCAACATGGATGCTAGGAACCAAATTTGGGTCTTTTGCACGAACAATACTGGCTTTTGACTGCTGAGCCATCTCTCTAGCCCCTGGCTCTGTTCTTTCTGGGAAAGAATTAATGTATTGACTCATGCTGGGGGTCGGGAGGGAATTTTACTTGCCAGTCTACTCTCAGAACCTAGCTCACAGACTGAGGAGCACCAATATGGTCTTATTCCAATCCGCCTTGGGGTCTTTATTATTTCAAATAATAATGATGTACCCAGTGTGACCAGGCCTCTCCTGGCTTCAAGGATCAGTCAGACCAGGTCTCTTTAAGACAGTGAAAAGATCTTATATGAATAGCTACCAAATGGGATAATTTAGTGCCAACCCTCAGTTTTCTTTTTTTTTTTTTCTTTTTTCTTTTCGAGACAGGGTTTCTCTGTGTAGCCCTGGCTGTCCTGGAACTCACTCTATAGACCAGGCTGGCCTCAAACTCAGAAATCCACCTACCTCTGCCTCCCAAGTGTTGGGATTAAAGGCATGCAGCACCACTGCCTGGCTCTCAGTTTTCTTGTCTGTAAAGTAGGACAATAAAAAGACTATGCTGTTAAATGGTGATCCATGGATAAAATACTCACCACAGTGCCTGGAGCACAGCAACACTTATGCTGTGTCTTAGTCACTGTTCTGTTGCTGCGAAGAGACACCATGACCACATCAGCTCTTATAAAGGAAAGCATTTAATTGGGGCTGGATTACAGTTCAGAGGTTTAGTCCATTATTGTCATGGTGGAAAACATGGTGGCATGTAGACAATCATAGTACTGGAGAGGTACCTGACAGTTCTATGTCTGGATCTGCAGGCAGCAGGAAGAGAGAGACACTAGGCCTGCCTTTGGCTTCCAAAACCTCAGAACCCACCCCTAGTGATACACTTCCTTCAACAAGGCCACACCTACTCCAACAAAAAGGCCACACCTTCTAATCCTCCCAAGTAGTGCTGTTCCCTCATAACTGGGCGTTCAAATATTGGAGCCTATGAGAACCATTCTTATTCAACCACCACAGGTTGTGTATCTGTTTCCTCCTTCAGACATCCCGTTGACTGCCAGGCATGATGGCTCCTGTCTGTAACTCCAGCAGTCGGAGGAAGGCACAGTCAAGAGGATCACCACAGGTTTGAGGCTAACCTAGTCTACATAGTGAGTCCCAGGGCTGTACAGTGGGACCTTATTTAGAAAGAAAGAAACCCTACCCTTTGGAGAGATTGAGTGGGAAGGCTCATGAACTCACAAAAAGTAAGACATTATGAAGCTCAGCAAACTCACCGCAGACTCTGAGCTTCTTGGCCCAGGTCACATGAATAGCAAAGAGCTGCTGCTAGAGGGGACTTTTCAGTGTTGGAGATTCCCCCTAAATTGTCACCCACGAGTGGGTGGGACTTTTTGGTGATGGAACTACCCTAGACTTTCACACCCCAGTAAGTAACCCTGCACCTGTAAGTAAAGCAAATAACCAAACCAGACTTAGATAGAGTTTTTTCTTCCATCCTTGTCTTCTATATCTGACTAGACATAGACTTCCCAGGCATGCAACAGCTTGATAGAGAGAATGTTCTGGAACAGCTGGGGACCTTAAGGAAAAGGATGGCTCAGAATCTTGGCTGGAGAATGAGTGTAGGAAGGGAGAGTCAGTCACATAATCTTCCTTCATTTGCTATTTTAGCAGCACAACTGGGCCATAAGGTGGCTTTGGTTTTTAATTTTGTTTATTATTGTTTTTTAAGACAAGGTCTTACTCTGCAGGCCTTACTGGCTTGGAACTGACTATGTAGACTAGGCTGGCTCCACCTGTCTCTGCCTCCTGAGTGCTAGGATTAAAGGTTTGCACCACCATGCCCAACTGTTGTTAAATTTTTACTTTCTGTGTGTCTGCCTGCGTGTCTGTGCACCATGTGTATGCAGTGTCCCTGGAGGCCAGAAGAGGGCGTCAGAGGCCCTAGAACCAGAGTACAGACAGTTGAGAACCACCATATGGGTGCTGAGAGCTGAACTCCAGACCTCTGCAAGAGCAGCAAGTACTCTTAATCACTGAGCCATCTCTCCAGCCCTGCTTAAGTTGCTTGTCTTAGTTAGGGCTTCTATTACAGTGATAAAACACCAGGATCAAAAGCAACTAGGGAGGAAAGGGTTTGCTTGGCTTACACTTACACATCACAGCCTGTCGTTTAAGGAACTCCAGGAAGAACTGCAGCAGAAGCCATGGAGGAACACTGCTTATGGGTCTGCTCAGCTTCCTTCCTTCCTTCCTTCCTTCCTTCCTTCCTTCCTTCCTTCCTTTCTTTCTTTTTTCTTTTCTTTTCTTTTTTTCTTTTTTTGTTTTGTTTTGTTTTTTTTTGAGACAGGGTTTCTCTGTGTAGCCCGGGCTGTCCTGGAACTCACTCTGTGGACCAGGCTGGCCTCGAACTCAGAAATCCACCTGCCTCTGCCTCCCAAGTGCTGGGATTAAAGGCATGCGCCACCACTGGGCCAGGATCACTTTCCTGGGGGTGGCACCACCCTCAGTGGGCTTGGTGCTCCTCCCCATCAATCAACGATCAAGAAAATGGCACACAGACTTGCCTATGGGTAAATCTTATGGGGCATTTTCTCAGTTAAGATTCCCTCTTACTAGATATGTTTAGTCAAGGTGAGGGAAACAAACAAACCCAGCACACTGCTCTTTAATACCTGCCCACCGTGGAGCTCCCTGATGCCACTCCTGGCTGCCTTCAGTCCTTTTGACTTGTAGGGTCTTTATATATGGTTTTCTTTTTTTTCTAGAATGCTCTTCCTATTTCTTCCCCAAATTAGTCTCCCCCACTCCTAAATCCACACAACATCTCAAGTGTCATTTTCTTTAGGAATGCTATCCTGATGCCCCCCTACCCTATATAGGACCTCATTGTGATTTTTAGAATCCATGTATCTCTTCCTCTCTGAGCTGTAAGCTCCTGGGAGCCAGGCCTTCGTCTGATTACGCACACCAATGTACCTGCCTCTTATGTTAGGCACCCTCAGAGTGATTGTGGAGCTAGTGAAAGGGGTGCAGAAAAGCATGGCTGATAACTCATGTTTGCGGTTTTACTTATCGCTGTCTGACGCAGCCTGCTAGCTCAGAGCATAGATCCAGACAGGAAAGTTGTGTCTCTGGTAACACACACGCATCTGTCCAGATAGTTGTGACCTTTTCAGCTTGTTGTGGTGAGATGGTTAGTGTCCTTGATGGCCGTTTATGTCTGCCATCCCTATGCCAAGCCATACAGACCCAGGTGGGTTTATTTCCGGTGTCTCCCCCTGGGGTTGTAGCTGACCGTATTACTAGTTTTCATTGGGATCCTTCGGGGGAACCGGAGGGTTTTGTTTTTTGTTTCTTGGTCAGGAATCACTTGACAGTTCTAGAAGGCAAGGTAAGGAGCAGAGCGCACACAACACGGAGTCACAGGGGGAAAAAAAATCTGAGTTCTTTACTCCGTTGTCTTCATCTCCCCCAAACCCTCTGAGGGCGGCAGGAGATTTTCTTCGTCTTGCAGACACAGAGAATGAACTTGAGAGTGCTTAAGCGGCTCGCTCAAGGTTACTCCCGTCCTCCGTGAAGAGGCGGGAGGCGGGATTCGCATCCAGGTTCTTCTGACTCCAAAGTGGCACGGGGGTGGGGCAGGAGGCCGGGCTGGGCTGGGGGCGCCTGGAGTCAGCGGAGCCCAGGCAGGGAGCGCGCGGGAGGCCTCTCCGGCCCAGCTCGGAGCCCGGTGGTGCAGCGCCCGCCCCCGATCGCGGGCGCAGACTGGCGGCCGCCTCCGGACCACGTGGTGCGCGCGGCGGCTCGGGGCTCCCCGGGCTTGGGCAAGCGCTGCGGGCAGCCGACCGGGCGGAGGAGGCGGGAGCGAGCGCTGCAGTCTGCGGCGTCGGGGCCGTAGCGTCCGTTTTCCGCGCGCCACTCGCTGGGTCCCTGCGCCCAGGGCGCACGGTGGAGACGGACACCGCGGCGCCATGGAGCCGGTGCCCTCTGCGCGTGTGGAGCTGCAGTCCTCGCTCCTCGTTAACGTCTCAGACGCCTTCCCCAGCGCCTTCCCCAGCGCGGGCGCCAATGCTTCGGGATCGCCGGGCGCTCGGAGTGCCTCGTCCCTCGCCCTGGCCATCGCCATCACCGCGCTCTACTCGGCTGTGTGCGCTGTGGGGCTGCTGGGCAACGTGCTCGTCATGTTTGGCATCGTTCGGTGAGTCAAGTCAGCCGAGGGCGTCGGGGGGTTTGGTCCCAGGGTCAGGGTGGACACTACAGTTTGTAGACCAGGATACCCAACCCGACTCCGCGGGTTCTGGAATGCTCTGTATAGGGGCTAGGCCCTCTGAGATGATGAAGACAGAGCTCGTGTGTGTGTGTGTGTGTGTGTGTGTGTGTGTGTGTGTCTGTGCGCGCGCGTGCGCGCGCACCCGCACACTAGCCTAACTACATAACATTTAATCATCCTTGACATCTCTTTGGTTCTGCATCACGGAGGTGGGACAGTTTGGCAACACTTTGTGTGTCTGCCACACACACGGTTTGCGATTGGGCAGTTTGACGGTAGCATGTGTGTTTGGTCCTCTGAAACCTTACAGGTGTGAGCTGAGGTGCTCTACACAATAACTTAGGTCTTTGGAGCATACAAAGGGAATAGGTTGTCTGCTCCCGGCTGTGGGGACACTCCCCACATCACATTTAGTAGTCATCTTCTGCGGTTGCTGTGTGTGTGCTTGTCCCAAACCATCAGTTTGTAGTTCTGTATGAGACTGAGAATGTATTTGCATTGTTTCTTGTCAAACCTCTAGAGGTCCTAGGTGAGGGAGACATCCAGGATGGCTTTAAACACCAGTCTTTGTGCTGCATGGTCTTTGATGGAGAGCCTCATAGTTTCCATGGACTGGCCATGGGTTCTCTCTTCTCCTCCCCAGGAGCTGTATGGTCAGGAATTTTGGGGTATGATTCAGGGCAGGTTTATCCTCCTTGAGGCCTGGGCTACAGAGCAAGGTTAAGGCCAGCTAGAGAACATGCCAAGACCCCCGCTCGAAGTAAGAGAGAAGAGGGAGAGAAAGATAGATAGATAGATAGATAGATAGATAGATAGATAGATAGATAGAATGAATGAGATTATTGATAGGGACTTACGGGGTCACAGGAAGTAGCTAAATTGATAGCTTGCACATGCATGAATCCCTGGGTTCAGTCCCTAGCACACTATAAACTGGACATGGTGGTCCATGGCTGTAATCCCAGCCCTGGAGGTGTTGAAGGAGAATACTCAGAAGTTCAAAGTCATGTCTTGTTACATAGAGAATTTGAGGCCAGTCTAGGATAACCAGCTTGGGATATGGTAGAGTACTTGCCTTCTAAGGTGCAAGGCTGAGAACTGCCTAAATTAACAAAGCAAAATGTCTCCAACTCATCTGTACCTGTGGGCACATTGCTGTACGTAAAGCACCCCCTCCCGACCCCGTGCTGAGGTAAGGGCTCATAGCAGGCTCCACAAGATACAGTATGCAAATGAAAGGTTTTGCTTTTCCCCTCTGTCTGCAGCCAAGGTGCCAGGGCCCGCTTAGATGAGTTCTCAAGCCAGACCTTTGAGATTTGGGAGCGTTAAGACCCTGACTTGTTTAGACGGCATATGTTTCTTCCCTCTGTCCCCTCTCTTGCTCAGATTAGTGGTTCAGATCCTGGACTCACATCCAGAAGACATTCCATAAAGATGGCACAGTGCAGAGGTAAAGGTCATGGCCGTGGGGCAGGTGGTGCCCTGTTTCTGTCCCAACTTCAACATGTCCTAACAATGTGGCTCTGGCCAAACAGTTCAACTTCCCCAAGCCTCAGTTACCTCATTTGAAAGTGTACAAGGATTAGAAAAGTCTGTTGGGCCAGGCAGTTGTGCCTTTAATCCCAGCACTTGGGAGGCAAAGGCAGGCAGATCTCTGTGAGTAGCTCAAGACCAGCCTGGTCTATAAAGCAAGTTCCAGGACAGCCAAGGTTACACAGAGAAACCAACCCTTCCCATCCCCCCTGCCACCACCACCTTCCCCCCCCCCAAAAAAAAACCCACAATAGGCTGTTGGGAAGATTAAACGGAGCCGCGCAGGTAATGGCCTAATAGCAGGCACCTGACGCATCCTAGGCCTTTGGTGTGTGTTGGGGTCCAGATTAACCAGCACACTTGCAGCTGCTGCAGGTGTGCAGCGTGGGCAGCTGGGGCCTGGTTGTCTATAGTTTCCACAGTGGGCCCAGTCTCCCGTCCTGCAAGGGCATATATTTTGTCAGTCAACAAATGTAACAATAATAATTGCTGACGCTAATCATCACCACACCTGTCCAGCCTCAGGTTTGTTTCTTTCTTTTTTGGGGGGGTTGGGGGGGTGGCACAGCCTTGGCCACATTCACTATGTAGAACCAGGCTGGCCTTGAAATCACCTCATAGAGATCCACCTGCCTTAGCCCTCCCCCTCCCCCCAATACTGAAATTAAAGGCATGTACCACCACACCTAGCCATGAGAGCCCTTGATGACCAGACTCTGAACACAAGCCTCATGTGGCCTCTGGCCCCTAACAGCCATGCTTCAGGGACCCAAGGTTAGAGACTCTAGGATCAAATGCAGCTTCCTAGGGCTGTAGGATCCAGGGCAGGGACTTGATTTAGCCAGAGGAGGTGATGTCTGGACTGAGAGGTGTCGGAGATGTCGAGATGCCACAGCTGGCTGTATGGAGAGGTGGGGTGGGGCATCTCAGGCAGAGAGAACAGCATAGACTGTGAGGTCCAGTAGGGAGCAGAGGGTTTCACCTGGGGCCTGGGTGGGCATGAAGGCAGAAAGGCTGCAGGACAAAGGCATGAAAATGATAAAAGTGGTGTCCTTTTTCCTGGGGTTATCGGGATCTTCAGAAGCAGAAAGGTTGTCGGGATTGCCGGAAGTGGAGGCTTCCGCTGTGTTCTGAGCTTCGGTAGTGCCTGGAGACAGTCTGGATCTACCGACTTAGTCTCTGCCGTTCAGAATTCCCAAGAAGTTGCAGATATTGGAGGAATGCCACAGAGCACAGAGACAAGGGGAGATCAGGGCAAAAGGAGTGAGACCCTGAGGGGAGGCTTGGTGACAGGCCAGGGTGGTCGGGACAGGTGGTGTGCAGGGGCTCTGGCTGCTAGTCTGGATGTGGAATTGGAGTCTGGACAGGTTCTTGACCCCAAGGTTGGGCCAGCCATGCTGGGATAGCCAAGGAGCTTCGAGTGTCAGGGGTGTCAGGAGAGAAGAATGATGGTCAAGAGGATGGGTCTGGTGAAGGGGTGGACCAGGCAAGCAGAGAGCAGGTGTCGCGGAATCAGAGGCTAGTGCCGGGGAGATGGGAGGAGACCTAGACAGGTAACCGAAACCCCTGCCTCCAGCCTCCTTAACCTCTCTCTGAAACCAGAGCCTGCTAGACCTAACAGGAAGGCAGAAACTGGCCCAATGACTTTGGATGAAACAAAACAGGGAGAGTGGAGAGTGAGCTGAGGCCAGGGCCTGCTGGTCTTGCCCAGAAGCTGCCATTTCCTAGGTCTTAGGATCATTCCCTGGGGAGTGTGTGAGTCACAGACACCATGGAGTGAGTGGGAGGAGTCACCAAGGACACCGAGTCTCTCCGGAGCTTCTCTTGGGTTCTAAGGATTCTCCAACCTGCACTGCAATCTGACAGTGAGACCGTCTCTTCTCATTCATAGACCAGGACATGAGCTCAGAGGCAGCAAGTGCCTCTCACAGTGAAGGAGTTGCAAACTCAGCTTTTGTTCTGAGACAGGGTCTCCTGTAGCCAAGGCTAGTCCCAACTTGCTATATCGTTGAGGATGAATGTTAACTTTCCTTCTTCCCGCCTCATCTACCACTCAAGTAGTAGGGTTACAGACACACACCGCCATGCCCATCTTAGACCTGGTCTTTCTGAGCCCCCAAACCACACCTTAACCACTCTGCCTGTGCTAGGCTTGAGGTGAAGAGAGAGGAGGCCAGGGTTATGCGAATCTCAAGGTCTCAGTATTTGATACCAGCAGCTGCAAATCTGGACATTAGAGCCCCACAGGCGCCATAACACTGAGTCCATCACACAGTGACCATCACATGGTGAACATCATACAGTGGCCATTACACAATGACCATCGAACAGTGGCCGTCATCAGACAGTGACGTTTTCTAAGACAGTGAGCTTAAACGATACATGTAGTATCTCTCTGTGCCTCAGTGTTCTGCTCTGTGGAATGGGAGGCCGGTAGACCCTTACAGGGTGAGAGTGAGGAAGCCATGAGGCGTGAACCAGCTCCAGGTGTGTTTGTTAGCTGTTCAGAAGCAGTATGTGGAGAGCTGGTCCCGTAGGGGAGGGGTAAGGCTCCCCGCTCATTCACTCAGTCAACATTTATTAAGCTGTGGAGAAGCTCTGGCTGGATGCTACAGGGAAACTTTATCAGGTTGCTATTAGAGGCTTTCTTTTATAATAAAGGTAACTAGAGAGTTACTTCAGGACCTAAGGAGACCTTTCAGCAGCAGAGGTTGATATTACCCATAATTCTACTGCAGAGAAAAGCTTAGTCATTTATGCTTCTACACAAACACACACACACACACACACACACACACACACACGCACGCATGCACGCACATCTGTCTTGATGAAATTAGAATTGCATAGTGAAATCAGGATCCAGTTATATGGACTTTGTAAAATTGTGTGAATGACGATAATAGGGAGATTTTACTCGGTAGCCCACACTGGGCTTGAGTTTCTGATCATCCTGCCTTCTAAGCTGGCCTGAGCTGCAAAAGTGAAACCTTGTTTCAAAATAACAAAACCAAAGGGATAAGGGAAACTGTTTTTTAAAAGCTGGTTTAGGGTTAGAGAGACGCTCGGGTGTAGACAGTGCTTTCTGCTCTTCCAGAGGACCCAGGTTCAAACCCCAGCACAGACAGGTATGTATGGCAGCTTAACCGTTGGTAACTCCAGGCCGATGCCCTCTTCTGGCTTCTGAGGGCACTGCATGAATATGGTGCACAGACAAACTAGCTGGCAAAGCACTCATACACATAAGATAAAAATAAATAGCCAGAGAGATGGCTCAGTGGTTAAGAGCACTGACTGTACTTCCAGAGGTTCTGAGTTCAAATCCCAGCAACCACATGATGGCTCACAACCATCTGTAATGAGATCTGATGCCCTCTTCTGGTGTGTCTGAAGAC